CAGAGAGAAAGGGGCTTCTCCAGCACCTCAGCACAGGTCAGGGCACAGATGGCTTAAGTAATCATGAGGAAAAGATGCCCCAGGAATGAGACTGAATGCCAAGCCAGCCTCCTGTCTGGGTTAGAGTAGGTTTTGAGCCAGCTTTAAGATCTCAAGAAATTCCCACTTTCTTGCCCTGGTTTTGTGTCTAAGATGCAATACCACTACACATGGAAAGCTTTACCAAGCTGGGCCTGGTGGTACAGCCTGTGATCCCAGCTACTCGGGAGGCTGAAGTTAAAGGACTGCAGGTTCAAGGCCTCTGGGTTACAGTGAGCAAAAGGCCTGCCTGGGCAACACGGTGAGTGAGACCCAATCTCAGAGTGAAAAAGAGGGCTGGCGATACAGCTCAGTGGCAGAGTGTTACCTAGCATGGCTTCAGTTCTCAGTGTGAGAGAGAAGCATTCACCAAAGGGCCTGGCACATAGCAGATCCTGGCATGTGTCCAGTAAATGGTAGTCAAGGTTATGAAAACCAGCTACAGGACTGGAGGCTGGCTGAGTTTGAGGCAAATAAAACTGAATTCTGTATACTATGTCAAATGTTGGAAATGCAAGACAGACTTCCCTTGTTCTAGAGCAATTAATGTTGGAGGCAGAGAGAGAGAGATGTGTTTTGTTCTACAGTAAGAATTGGGCACAATATTGGAGTTGGGATGGAAGGCTTCACAGTAGTCACATTTAATCTGGGCTTGGGGAAGGACAGACAGACTCTTCATAGATTGACAGGAGACAAGTCAACGTAGAGAGTAATTTATGCAAAGTCAAGGAGGAATAGACATACATGGGAAAGTTGTGTGACTTAAACAGCGACTTTTTCAGGGTTAACATTGGAGACAGTTTCAGAGAGCATCACCCTGTCAGTGAGGGAGCACATACATACATGAACAGAAAACAAGAGGCAGAAGGAATGCCTGCAGAGCTTCCAGAGAGGAAACAGCTGGTTCACAAGAAGTCTCAGAGCTTTGAATAGCCTTTGGCTTGTCAACTGGGTGCTCAGAGACTGCAGAAGTGCCTTAGAAGTTGTGGTGGGAATTAGTTCCAACCTTGAGCTGTGTAGCAGCTAACAATGCTGTTCAGATGTTGAAGTGGAACTGAAGCATTTTCTGATGCTTGAAGCGCACACAGCCTCCTCTGCACACTCTCTGAAACCCAGGGAGAATGCACTCACTGGAGTGGGGCAGCAGACACAGAGAGGTGGGAAGAGGAGACAAGATTGAACACGGAGTTCAGGACGATCCTAACAAGATGCTGGAGTGATGCCAGGAGGATGGCTGTGTCGCTGATGGCGTGTGTAAGAGCAGACTTCGGGAGAGCTCCGTCTGACCCTGAAATTGGAAGGATATCCGATGCATCTGGATTTTTGAAGAAATTTATGATCCATTAATAGGTACAACTAAAATCAAGCACAGAGAAAATGACATGAACTCCAGCCTGCTCTATGGTTTGCCTTACATGGGCATAAACGGTGGACACTGAGCTAGTCAAAATAATGAAAACACTGGGATGTGGGAAGGAGGCGTGTGTGAGCCTGAGGATGAGGAACACAAAATGAAGCCTCCATCTCTGCCACAGTGGAAGGTGAAGAGGTAAAAACTAAAGCAGCGAAGTCAGGATGTAGCGAGCACCAGCACGACTGTCCAGAGGTGGGAGGACAGGCTCACTGTTTAGCCCACTGTCCTAAACTGCTTAAGGCAAGCTACTTGGAAAGATGTGTTCAGCTCCTAGTTCTGGAGGCTCAAGGGCATGCATGATGCCAGGCTCTGGTGAGGACCTCAACACTGATGACATCTCCCTGGAGGAGTGTGGGAGAGGGAGAGCATGGGTCAGATGGCCTTACAACTCCACAACGCACTCCAAAGAGCTACCTTAATGAACCCTTCTGAGGCCAGGGCCCCCAAAGGCCTAAGAACCTCCCCTAGGCCATACCTCAAAAGTCCCACTATCTTAGCCACACCAACAGAATCTGTTAAAGTAGGTGAAAGTTACTGACTCAGAGGATGAGGACACAGTAAGAAAAGGGGCTGGAGGCAAGGGCTTCTGTAGCAAGTCTCGTAGAACTACTCGATGCACAGAGGTGATCCTGGGCCAGTGCTGAACTCCGAGTAGGACCGGGAGGCCTTGGGAGGGCTGGGTTGTTGGACAGAAAAGGGAACTGATGCTCTCATGTGGGAGAGGTGGTATGTTTATTACCTCTAGGAGGACACCTTGGGATAAGGGAGAGTTTGAAGGATACAGAAGGAAAACTGCTAAGTGTTTATGTTAATACATTTTTTAATTTGAATTTTTCAAGTTTACTTTTACTTTTTATGTATATGAGTATTTTACCTCCATGTGTGTAAGTATGACCCATGTGTACAATGCCTGCAGAGGCCAGAAGAGGGTGTAGGAGCCCCTGGAACTGGAGTTGTGGATGGTTGATAGCTGCCATGTTCGTGCTGGGAACTGAACCCATATCCTCTACAAGAGCAGCCAGTGCTCTTAACCGTTGAGCTGTCTTTCTAGCCCCAGAGTGTTTATTCTATAAGAGACCAAAGGGAGTCAGTGCATGAAGGCAAGAGAAAATTCCTTTGCAGCGGTGGGGTGGGGGGCACTAGAGAAATGGCCCAGCAGAAATTGGTTATGCATACTGCTCTTCCAGAGGACCTGAGCTTGATTTCAAGCACCCATGTCAGGCAGCTCACAGAAGCCTGTGACTCTAGCTCTGCACCACACACAGCACCCCCAACAATGAAAAAATAATAATGTTTTCAAAAATTCTTTTTTTTTTTTTTTTGGTCTTTTTTGAGACAGGGTCTCCCTGTAGCCCCAGCTGGCCTGATTCACTATGTAGACCAGGTTGACCTTGAACTCCCAGAGATCAGTATGCCTCTGCCTCCCAAGTGCTGGGATTAAAGGTGTGTGCCACCACATCCAGCTTCAAAAATTCTTTTTAAATAAAGGACTATTTTGCCTTGAGCCTGGAAGCAAAAACTTGAGCGCGAGGGCAGATAAACAGTCTAAAAGATTTAGGGGGCCTGGAGAGATGGCTCTGGTTAGCAGAGCATACTGCTCTTGGAGAGGACCCGGGTACAGTTTCCAGCATCAACACCTACAGCTCACAACCACCTGTAACCCCAGCTCCAGGAGATCCCCTGGCAGCCTAACTCACATGCACATACCACTACCACCACACACACACACACACACACACACACACATAATAAAAAGATAAGCTTTTTTTTTTTCAAAGATTAGGAAATGTCCCGGTGACTGGGGCTGGGTAATACTTGCATAGTGAAAAACCACACTTATCTTGATCAAAAGAGGACACTGACTTTATGAAGCCGCAGGACAGAGATGAGAGGCACACATTCCAGTGATACATTACAGCAAAAGACTAGTGGGTGAGGGCATGCAGGGAGCACACATCTGCTGTCTTCTGAGAACCAGCCTACTCCCTTGCCACAACCCAACCCCCTCATCTCAGATGTAGAGGCTGGATGGCCACGTTTGAGCTGTGGGCTCTCAGCCCCTACTCTAAGTACATTGCACTGGGATGGACACCCTCCCAGGTTTGGATCATTGTTTTTCCAAGAATTTGAAACTGTGACTGGGAGACCGTGTCTTTGAGTGACAGCCATAGTGATGTCAGCCACAGACCTGCACAAGGACCATCTGCCAGGGACAATCAGGGCACAGTAAGAAAAGCCAGCAAGAAGATAAGTGGGGTTCTGCTGGCTTTTCAGATCCCAGTTCTATTCCCAACCTGCACAAGGACCATCTGCCAGGGACAATCAGGGCACAGTAAGAAAAGCCATACACGACCATGTGGCCCAGCAAGAGGATAAATGGGGTTCTGCTGGCTTTTCAGATCCCAGTTCTATTCCCAGGGGCCTGACTGAACCCACCTCAGGTTCTGTGCACCACCCTGCATCTCTGTGGTAAATACTTTCTGCTTTGCACATGATCGTTGTAAGGTGTGTTGTTGACAAACAGAAACCTTCCCTACCTCCTCCATGTTCTTTCTGGTCATTGGCTTCTCCTGGCTTCTCCCTCCGGGGCAGTCCAGTTGTCATCAGCTCTCGATGGCATTCCTTTCCAGGACCAAACTCACAATTCAAGCCACGGTCTCGGCCCTATGTATACCATGAACAACTTTGCTGCCCTAGCAAACCCAGTTCTCCAGAAAGCCTTCCTGGGCCGACTCAGGCCTTGAGATTCCCCTGCCATTGGCTTCCAGTAGCACCTATGCCGGGGGTCCCAATGACCAGACCATAGCCTAGGGCTGGGATGGTGACATCAGAATTATCTAGAGTATGTTAAAAAATAGAGTCCCTGTCACGGCTTTTCCACCCCCAAGATCCTAATTCAGAAAGTCTGTGTGTATTTGATTGACATAGACTATCTTGCACGATCACTTATCTCTGTGTGTTTTTAATTTCGTTCACATTAATCTTCTGGGCCACATGCTTAGAGAGAGCTGGGGTGGACCACTTGGGCCTCCTGACTTACCAAGTACCTGCAGCCATCTTATCCAAGCCTTGGACATCTCTGTGTCATGGATGGGATGCCAGGGAATGTCTATAAAGGAGATGGCATTCACACAGGAGTGGAATCCCTGTGGGCCTTTCCTCTCCCAGAGCTGTATAGAACTGTCTTTGATTGGGGGGATTGCAGTTACAGGGTACTCCGCATCCCCTTTCTGGGAATCTGAAGTCAGCAGGCAAATTTCATGAAGTCCTTGTGAAATGGCCCACAGGCAAAGTATTACGCAATGGGCCAAACAACATGCACCTTGACTAGTATAAAGATGGTCATACTGGGTGGCCCTCACCCAGAACTCTATGCCCAGGCATCCCTCATGCCTGAAGTATCATATCGACCCAGACTCAGTAAAAAGGATTCATTGCAAATACCATTAAAGAATTTAGTGCAGCTAACCAGAGCTTTGGATAGAGTAAGAGTATGGGTGCATTGGCATGGAAGGGGAGATGCCAGGCCCTACAAAGTTCTACCAGGAGTTCTGTGGCCAGAAAACAAGTGAGCAATAGGACAGAGGTTGATGCCATTCCAAGTCCACACAGCGGGGATGTATTTAGGCTGGTGCTGAGCATGCGAAGTCTCCCAGAAACCCGCACAGAATCTGCAGTGCAGCTCCCATTTCTCCCTCAGTCATCACCTAAAGGAGCAAAATCCAGGTGACCAAGCTTGTTCAAATTCAGGCACTGCCTTCCGCCAAACCCCTGCTTTTCTGTCCCCCGTCCACTGCTTGTCTACATCACCCTTCCCCCATCCTTGCCTCCCCACCCCCATGCTGCTCTGAGTAGTCACCTTCCTCCCTCCACTCCTGGATTCCAGGGGCTTCTGTACCCGTGACCACTGGGCAAGCGTGTGCCTGTGATGATAAGGATGGTGCCCAGGAGGAAGCCCACCAGGCCAATGGCCAGGCCCAGGGCACAGACCAAGGTCTCTGTGGTGTCTGGTGGCGGGGTAGGCACCTGGAGCTCTGGGAGAGAAAGCAAAGGTCAGGGGGTGCAGAAAGGGACCTGGAGTAGAGGAAACATGGGCGTGAGCAGGGGCCTGGGCCCTACCCCAGTGCCGGAGGAGCGGCTTGTCCAGGCCCCAGTGCTCCACCTTGCAGTCATAGACATCCTCGGCCAAGGGCACAAAGGTCAGGTAGTGGAACTTGCGGAACAGGTGGTTAGGCTGGGAATAGAAGCTGGTCTGGGTCACTCCCTCGGTGATGGGTTGGCCGTTGCGCAGCCAGGTGATATTGATCACAGGGGGGAAGATGTTGTCCACGATGCAGATGAGGATGTTGGGCTCACCGGGTACCACAGGAGACTTGGGAAGTACTGTCACACTGGGAGGCACTAGGAGAAATGAAGCCCTGAATTGCAAAGGCCATCCCTTACATCTGGGCCATACTAGGACCAGGAATAAGGGACGATTCCTTCAGTGTAGCCGCCTGCTCTGGGATGGTACTTGCTGGGACAGGAGGAAAGAGGGAGGGCCTGGGGAGGGGATAGGGGGTCCTGTCTAGGCCCCAAGAGGGTATACAAGTGAAAGGCGTCTTCAAGGAGGGAAAAGGTACTGAGGGGCCTGGGAAGATCTAGAGTCTCCGAGTAAAGAAGGGATAAGAAAACTTGTGCCAGAGGGAGGGAGGCCCAGGGGGTGGGGGAGGAGAGGTCACTCTGGGTCAGAGGGAGGGCCAGGTACCGCTGGTGGCTCTGGTTCGGTTGGAGCGTTCCACCAAGACAGCCAGGTGGGCTCTGATCATGTCGATGCTGGCCAGCCCACTCTGAATGTCAAAGTGTACGAAGTCACCAAACTCAGGCAGGCGCCACACAACCTCCTTGTTCTTCAGCTCTACAGAGAACATTTGTTCCCCATCAAATTCATGTGTGAACTGGCCTGAGGCATCGTGAGACTGGTAGAAGGCTGGTCCGTAGGAGCCCATGTGGTCCGCTGTATTGGGAGGAAGGAGAAAAGCATCAGTGTCATCCAAGGTGTGTGTAGTGTGCTGATCGCAGCCCGGGTCCCATCACCGGCTATGTGAGGGGCAGGCCAGTGCTAACATTGACAGGCACTTGGAAAGCACAGAGAGATGGAAAGGAGAGGACAGAGGGAATGGGCTTGCACCAGCACACAGTGACCATGCAGGTGGGTCACAGTGACCATACAGGGTGGGTCTGGCAGGGCAGGCTGCAAAGAGGGGAGGCTGCCCAAGGTGGTACCTAGGGTTGCTGCCGTCATCTGCGGTAGTTGTAGCCGCTGTCCGGTCTTGTGTATAAGATGGTGAGTTGGGGGTGGAATGCGGAAACTGTGATTGGGGAGGGACTGCAGTGGAGCTCTTGGCAAAGAGAGGCAGAGTGCTGGACAGCTTTGGTGTCAACTTGACACACCTGGGTTGAGGAGCCTCAATTGGGGAACTTCCTCCATAGGACTGGCCTGTGGTCATATCTGTGGGGTATCTTCTTGATGAATGATGTGGGAGGGCCCAGCCCACTGTGGGTGGTGCCACCCCTGGGCAGGTGGGCCTGTGTTGCATAAGAAAGCAGGCTGAGCAG